GGGGTTCTTTAGGGCCAAATGTTTTTTCCGGCCATTTTCAACCCCCCAAAAAAACCCCTGGCCCAAATTTTTCCCTTGGGGGGAAAGGGCCCGGCCCCTTGCCCAAAAAAAGGGGTAGGGGATTCATTCCTCCCATTTTTTTTTCCCAGGGAATTTCCCCCCCCTCCCCCCTTTTTTGTTAACCCCCCCCCCCCCCCCCCCCCCGAAAAAACGGGAAACGGTTGTGTGTTACGAGCGCACTTCGTCACACTCTTGAAAAATAAATGGTACGCACCAACAACACCGATTCTACCACAACATCAGCTACCCGTGTCTACTGTAACGCCACTCACAAAACGCGCCGAATGCGCGTAGGAAGCTCCGTCCACACAAGCAGACCTCGGGGGCGCTGAAAAACAGCTAACGAAATCAGCCGCCGCCCGTTAGTAGAGGGAAGCGCAGATGGTGGTGGGGGGGGGGGGGGCGACGACCGCGCAGCCCCCATGCCCCCCTTGAAGCACCTCTCCCATCAGCCATGAACTCATGAAAAAGCACGACGTTTCACCTTCTCTTCAGTCTTCTTCTTTCAAAGCCTAAACACGTTTCCAAAAAATCGCATCCCAGCAGACAGCAAGCTACTTCATACCTGCCTCTCGTGGAATTTGGACATGCCGCTAGCCTGACTCAACCAACAACGCCTCGCACAAAAAACTAAACAAAACACGGAATGAGCAATGACCAACGGCTATCTATCCCTGCTGGTTGCCGTGGCCGAAGACGAGCGACGTTTGTGGGAGGGGGACCGGGGCCGGCGTGGGAAGCATTCGGTCCATTTTCTTTTCTCGCCCTTCTTTTGCCACATCCGGAGGCGCGATGGGACAGGACGAAAAACTCAAACGGGCGAGGTGTGAGCCCACACACACAACCATTGCGCGTGGAGGTACCGAGGTCGCCTCGCCACAGACCAGTGGTAGTGGTACTGCTTGCCGCAGCTCCTGCGGCTTCGTCTGCGGACGCGTTGGCAGCAGGAAGAGCCATCGACGAGCTGTTGGCGGCTGACGATGATTCTCGAACCAATTTCTTGGCTCAGCTCTCCAATCAAATCAGCGGCTGGCCGTGCGGCCCCCCCGGGGGGCGGGGGGGGCAGAAACACTCCGCCAGCCCACACGTGAAGATGCAACAGAAGGTGCGTCGCAGGCAGAAGCACAGATCGTGGATGGGACCGCAGCAGCAGCACAAGCCTAGCGCTAGGCCGGGAGTTTGAAGGACCGGCGCGTGCGTGCGTCCGGCAGTCGTTTTTTGCAAAAAACAAAACGAAACAGGTGCAGAGCAAAACGCAAACGAGACGGCACGGGGGTGCGGAGTTGAACGTCTGATTTCGCGGATACAGAGACGCGAGAGAAGCGAAGAAGGCATCTTTCCCTCCGGGTGAACAATCTCACGGGGGATAGAGCAGACAAAAAGGGGCAAGACATAGCAGTTGAGCCCAGACTTACCGGCACTCTCAGCAACAACAAATCCCGAACCTGCAGTGCACACATACGTGAGTTAAGTGCCTGACGTAATAGTGCATTTTTAGTCCATTTTCCTGCGCAGGTGGTGTGCGAGTGCTCCTCAGAAACTCTCAATGCGTGCTCCGTGTCAATCCCGTTTCTTCAACAACAAAACCCAAAGCCGTCCTATGAGGGTCGACCAACACGTCGTCTGTCTTCCGCAAGTGGACAAGTTGGAGCCCAGGTGGTCCTCCCCCATGCCTACAATACCTACTTTGAGATCAGTGTCTAGGGGTGACGGGTGTTGGTTGTGGGTATGGGTTGAGAAGCCCCCCTCTCTACTTCACGTAAAAACACTTAATCTCCTCCTCGGGAAGGCGGTCCACCGAGATGGTGCTCGACGTTGAACTATATCCATATGTAGCGCTCTTCGGTACTCACGTGGTCCTCCCGGCCCGTGGTGTGGCCCGCCCCACCCTCCTGGCCCTCCGCCGTGCCCCCCGTGGCCTCCGCCATGCCCCCCGCCGTGCCCCCCGCCGGGACCACCCCCTCCGGGCCCAGGAGTAGGGACAGAAGAACAGGCAGGGGGGGGGGTGGAGGGGGGGGGGTAAACGGCGGGTAAATTTTATTTCGTTTAAGCCCAATGCGTTCCTCGAAGATGGGAATGTGCTTGTATTAAGCCCGATGCGTTCCTGGAAGACTCGTTACGTGTGGTTAGATAGGGTTTGAGGCGGCGAGGACGGTAGTGTGTGTGAGAAAGGTGTAATCGTGTTTCGCATGCCGAAAAGTGGTACAGGCAGAACAGGGAAACCTTTTTCGAACCACGTTTTTGACAAAAGCAGGAAGCAACGATTGGCCATCTGCGATTGGTCCTGTGATAACAGCAAACGCTCCCTCCTCTGGAGGACGCGTGGCGTGGTCAATGGTCTAACAAACGACGCCTAGGTCAACTGTTATATCCCAGTATAACTATCGTCTTCTCCTGGCCGTGCCGTGCCTCAAACTTCTCTCGGTATGGACCTGCTACTTTCCCCAGTTCCGTCATGTACATTTCTCTCGTCTTTTCTTGAAAAGGACGTTCTGCAGCTGCATCAACCCGATCTTCACACCCGGACCCGTTTAAGCAATTGAACTTGCTGTCGTCTTCGTCTACATACCTTCCTGAATATCCGTATATGTTCTCGAAGGTCATTGTCCCAAGTCCGAAATTTGACCTTCAACGTTTGTTCCTGCATCCTGCAAGTACTCCATTCATTCTAGCCCTTCGTTCACTCATTTCGTAGATTTCTAGACCTTCCTGTTCCATAGTTTCCTTTCGTAGATTCACGTCTTATTTCTCGGCAAGAAGCATCTGCTATCTCTTCCTTGAGCCCCTCTAGGCATCCCATTGCCAACGCAACACATTCGTCGATATCGACCCCGCTCCACGCTTCCTCTGCACGCTCTCTTCACTCTGTGGGCTGTCTAACAACCCCTCGCCTCGCCCACTTCGCCTCCCAAGCTTTTGTGGCGGTCGCTCCTCTCCCATATCTGCCATGTCGTATTGCCATTACTGTCATTGTATCTCTTCCCGTTCGTAGGGATTGGAGCCCCGAATTCTGCCCCTACTGCCGCGTTCTTTGTGCGCTTGGAACATTCCAGAATTATCTTCGCTGCTTTCATCAAACTCTTGTAGCCGTCGGGACCATGGGGCTAGCTAGATTCCAGCCAAAACACCGCTGTACAGCGGCAGGAGTTCGCTGAAAAGAAGCATCGCACAGGAGCTTAGAAGAGTACAGCCGGCGCGTACTGCCCGCACACGACTACCGGCAAACGTAACAAAATTCAGCTGCCACGTACTTCCACCACGAACAAACGAAAGCGAGAGGAAAAAAAGACACGATTGTCACAGGCGTCCCGCATCTGACGCGGGAACCCCAAGCCACCGCCGCACCCTTCGTTCGACGCCTTGTTGCCCCGTTGCGTGCCTAACGAACATAAGATACCTTCCAAGGTCTGCTCGAACCGCGCGCGGAGCGTTTTTACAGCGGCAAGCAGCTACAATTTTGCAGACCCGCTGGTGTTGTGCTGTCTGCCGAGCATGGCACTGCTTTCACCTTTGTGCTAGCTAGGCCCTGGGCTAGAAACGAGGGCTTGGAGGGAGGGTGCGTCCGCACGGCATGGTGTGTGTGTAGCTTGGCAAGGGGCCTGCTGCGCCAATGAAGGCAAGAACACAACGAAAATGCTCATAATTTGCTCGGTGTGCATCATTCTTGTCACTGTAGGTGTGCAGCAGCTGCACTACGCGGCAGCAGTGGCCGTCGAGTCGAGACTCCGGATCACGCCAAAGGTGTTCTGGCTTTCACGAGTCGCGCCCTCGGTCTACTGCTGTATACGGAAAGCAGAAGCGACTGCTGCGTGCATACACTGCTGCTGTCGCCAGACGAGGAGAAGCTCTGTTCCCAGAGAAAAAACACCTGCAGCTGATCGTTAATAGCTAATAGTCCACATAGGCAGGCACGTGCGTATTAGCAAGAGAGGCGCCGATACCGGCCCGCAAATAATGACTGCTGCTCCTACACATATCATCGGTTCTTTCAGCCTGATCGATGCCGGTGTGGGGAGTATTTAAGATTTAGTGCTGGGTATGCATCAACCCTCATACGCAAGACATACAGGGGGGTGCTCGGCGCTGAGGGTGTGGCACTCTCGCTTGTTTCTCCTCACGCTCTTGAAGCGTGCCTCATGCGAGTGGGCCAGGTAGGAACCCCGACCTTCTGCTGCAACTTTTGAGGGTCCCTCGGTGTGTACCGCAGATTGGTAGACTGACTCCTCGGGGCCATCCGTGCAGTGCACGCACTGCGCGTCGCAACAAGAGTGGCGGCCCGATCTCTCGCATAGACAGGACAACGATTCTCCTGCAATGTGCTCGGTTGTTTAGAGAACATGATGATCACAATCACACAGCACACAGCAGCAGTGCATGTTCTCATCTGTTTTCTGCTGTGAGCGCGAGCGAGCGGGGTTGCGGAACAATTGATGAAAACAAACACCGGACATGTCCTCTCTGCCGGCTCATATATAGACGAGAGGACCTCATCAGGACATAGAGCATTGTTTGCTGGCACCTCGAGGTGCACCCAGCTCCGTGGTTTGAAGCCAGCAATACTCGATCGCGTAAGTAAAGGAGCACCCCACGGCTGCACGGTTTCACGCTTAGCGACCGACTGGCACGCTGGGGGCTTGGCTATGCAGTCTAGTCTATCCACCCGCTACATGTATTTGTAAGGAACAAAGCGCGCACCCATGGCACGGAGGCGCCATGAGAAAGATAAATACGAAGCCGGGGCAATGGACTTTCTGTCTGCAAGTGTCTCTTCGGGGCTGGACGTCCTTAAGTGCTGGTGTGCGTACAACGGGCAAGCAACGTTCTCTTCTACATATATGTATCTGCAGAAAGCACATGGAGCGAGCACCGAGACGTGTGCATTGGCACTCTTTCTCACCAGGCATTGCGCTGTTGTCGTTTGGTCCTTCAACTCCTTGAGATATCCTCTCTCTGCTGTCCGAGGCGACCTCCCTGTTGTTAGAAGTGACCAGATTCTCGAAGCTTGTGGGCGTTAATGCGCAGGAACCGCGCACGCTGAAAGCTGAATGCTGAAGCGATGGTTGGATGCGTTGGATGGTTGCCGGGAGGGAGATACAAGTACGCCTTGTTCTACGGAGATCTGGGAGATCTGGAACACAGTTTTGGGAGATTGCGCATGAACACGTTCTGGTAACTGCTGAAGATTGGTTGCATAGGTAGCCTGTATCCTCTCCTACTCGTTCTGTCTCCCTCCGTTTCTTTTACTGCGGTGGTGGGCTCGCCAACAACTCCCCTTCTGCCAGCATGGAAGGGAAAAAGGCTTCATGTAGGAAACTTGACGTTGATGTTGATGGTCACAACGACGGGTTCTCTTTTCCTGTTCCGCGGTCCAGGTCCCGGCATCCTTCACGAGCCGGTATCGCCGTCCAAGACGGGGAAAATCTTCTCCGCTTGTACACCTCAGCGGGAGGAAAAGCTTGGCGAACTAGCCTAGGATGGCCAGCTGTAAGTGACTGCATGCCTAGGAGAACCAGCGCAGGGACTAGCCGATCGGTCTCACCCCGCCCCACATCGCGGAATCCTTTTGGCGAGAAGGCTGTATCCAACGACGGCGACCGACCGGCAGTTGCCGCGGCATCCGCAGCGGTAGCGGTCGGCGCGACCCCCTCCATATCCCACCTCACACCTTGCCGCGGCGGCGGCTCCCCTGGTAATCCCTTCGCCCCAGCACTAGAGGAGGGGCAACCAAAAAGAAGAAGCCGCTCGCCTATCAACCCGTTTTCCCCGCCGATAGATGTTCTGCGAGCTGCTTCGGACGAGCTGCTAGCGCCAGGTGCCTCGCAAACTCCTTCACAATCGACTGCTGCTGCCGCTGCTGCTGCCGCTACTGCTGGTGGCGGTACCAGGCCGAGAGCTGCAGAGATGATAGAGCCACCTCCTGACATCGATCTTTGTGCTCGACCCGCTGAATCGCAGCAGCGAAGGGCAACGGAGAGACTACCAGCACGGCAACCCCTGCGAAGCGCGTCTCCGTCAAGCGCAGCAAGTGACACGGGTAGCTTGTTGCGACGTAGGTCCCGATCCCCTAATCCCCCACCAGCCACATCTACGCGACGGACCATGCTGGACCCACCTCGAAAGAAGGATTGGACACCTTCCGACTCTAGAGCAGAGTGGTTCGGTGTTTCACTGGGGACAGGCGGGCGGGTGACCGAGCTAAAGCTGGTCGACAACGGCCTCGTCGGCACCCTTCCGAATGCTCTGGGTGGCCTGGAGATGTTGCGCTATCTTCATCTCGGTCGTAATACCCTATCAGGTTGGTCAGTTGGTTGGCTACCAGCAGAATTCAGCCCATGAGCCAACCCCGGCTTTGCAGCAAGACCTCGTATCGGTGCCCAGTGATCGACAAATTCAAGACAAGGCGAAAGAATAGACATGCTTGTTCTAAAGCAAAGCTTATCATGAACAAGCGGTTGTCTTACTCTGAAAACAAGGGACCTTCGAACGCAAGTTCAGCGATTGGCTGAAACGGGATGCGTTTCAACCCCTGTTGCCCAATCCCATCCCCTGCTTACTCTCCCCCGACCGGCCCCACTCGAAAAGGGACTATTCCAAGCGGCCTCTCGAGCCTCTGGGCCCTCGAGTGGCTCAACCTTAGCGAAAACGTTCTTACGGGACCGGTGCCGGGGTCTCTGTCCAGTCTTAGCAGATTGGTGGAGCTGAACCTCAGCGCCAACCGCCTTACTGGCCCTCTGCCGCCAGAGCTCTGCGGCATGGCGTCCCTTGTTTGTCTCCAGCTCTCGAAGAACGACCTGGAAGGCTTTCTACCGGCTGAGGTATGTGTCATTCCACCTTTGGTCTAGTTTTGTTTTACTCACGCTCGATGTACCTGTGCATATTTTTGGTCCGTTGGCCTGGAAACGCGCTAGAATCAAACTGTGCGCACACCCAAGAACTAACCCGTCTAGCTGTGGCTTACCCACAGTTCACTGGCTCCCGACCGTGAAGGCTACTCCAATTGTAGATCAAGTGTTCTTCGGTCTCCAAGTTTCGAACCACAGCCAGGGTTTTCACTCTTGTAAGGTTGTTCTATGGAGTAGTACTTCGTGGGGTGAGGTTGTTAGAATACCTGCTGGCGAAAGTAGCACACAGGGCGGCGCGCACGGAATGCACTATTGAATGCTTTCAGTTCTACGCCTCTGTCCTTCGTTATTCAGAGATGGGAAGGGCAGTCCAAACTGAAAGGCATGCATGCACGCAGAGAAGAATTGACGCCCAGTTGTTGCAGCCTCACATCATCGGAGCATCGAAGATGCGCTGCGCATACTATGGTACAGTAGTACAGTGTGAGCCGGTGATGTCCTTTCGATGTGAGGCTGTGATCATGACTACGCGCACAAAGGTTTTCTCCACCAAAGGGCAGACTTGTGGTTCGATGACGTCTGGGCCTATGGTAGGGTCCACCTAGCCCACGGATAATTACTCCCTAGGCATACAAGTTGTTTGAGCTGCATCGTTTTACATGGTAGCTCACGCCGCCCGAGCATCACTCCAAATTCTTCTGCGAAAACCCTAAAACCAATATATCCCTATATTCCAAGAAGACGGCGACTTCTGTATATCGCGACCAAGGTCTCTCACTCCCACGTGGAATTTCTCTCATTCTTATACTCCCCACACCATCACCACAATGTCGTTGTCATCGTCGTTACCTTTCAAGATTTCAGAGCTAACCTCACTGGTAACCCTGTGTCTGGACCACAACCGGTTTTGCGGGCCGATTCCGCGAGGGGTAGCGGGAATGAAGGCCCTGAAGGAGCTGCGGCTGGATCACAACGTTCTCACGGGTGAATGGATATCTCAACCTAGCCCATTACCGAAGCAACAATCCTGCCTTTGGTTGGTTCTTTTTACCGAATCCAAGCGGATTTGTTGGATCAGATAAACCCGCCGGAGAGGTTCTGCTGGAGGTTGGAATCGTCCTTTTACTTATTCATTTTTTCCCGAAGAACGTATCGGCTATGTGTACTCCGAGTAGCTTTGCACGTCCCCGTCGTCGCTCTTTTGAATGCCTCCTTCTTCAACCTTGTGCCGATCCGGGCTACACTATCCTCACGCGAGCGAGTTGCGGTCGAGGACAGTCAATACCAGTGGCGACAACGTTGGTGCGTACAGAGAGCAATACCAAGCAACTGCGGAAGTATTCGACACAACCCCGTCTCAAGCGCTCAACGATGTAGGCGTTGAAATACCTCTGGTTGTTCGCGTTGGACACAATCTCGTTCGACTAACAGGAAGACTGCTTCAATATTAGCACAGGTTAACCACACGATCCCCTCCTCCCAACACCAGGCCGGATACCTTTGGGTATGGGCAAGATGAAGTCTCTCAAGATCTTGAGCTTGTCGAACAACCTGCTCAGAGGGTCCATGCCGGAGGGACTGATAGCAAACCTCGGCGCGACCCGGGTGCAGAAGTCTATCATGCCTGGCAACCGCCTGGCGGATGTCGACACCGTGAGTTTCTCGTACTGGCAGCTTGGGTCTTACGCCCTCTAGACCCCGTTAGAGCGGCACTCGCCCTGGGACGTGGTAGAAGTGTTGAAGCGTGCGCCTTCCCACACGAAAGATCTGAAATCACGAAAATGCACGCGGTCCCCCCCCCCTCCTTCCAAATACATGACATGCGACCAATAGTATCTTCCGTATTGTTCTTTGAGCCCCCAGCGCGCACCAAGGTCAAGCCGAACTCAAACTTCCCAACAGGCGAGTGTGGGTTTCGCCGCTTTCATGAGCATTCGTGTAGGACGGTGCGAAAACAAATAAAAAAATTCTTGACGGGATAGTTACAGGGGATATGCATACCTAGTAAAGTAACATAGCAAATACTGCTGCTGATACAAAGCGGGTATAGAGCCAGGCACGTTCGCATCATATCCCGACTATTTAGCGCAGTGAGCTTCCCCCACGCACGAGCGAACTCCCCTGCTTTGAAGAACATCTGCACCTTCTTGCATTTTCATAAATTCATGCGCACGTGCTCAGGCAATGCTGCTATTGAGGCGCCCCTTGCACTGCCGAGCCGACCGGTGGCTGCTAATATTCTCGCTGTTTGCGGCTTACGTGGACCTCGGGACCGACGTCGGGGCGGCGGTGACATTCTACTTAGGTAACAAGGTCGTTGATTTGCTGCAGCTGCTGCTGCTTGTGTGACTTCCGTACAACTGTTGCTGCCGCTGCCGCTGCTGCTGTATTTTTGCTGCATATTCCACCGATACTGTTGCATGCAGTAGTTGTTGCAGGTCGTTTTTTTTGCTGGTAGTTTTGTCGGGTAATTTTACGTTGGTGTCGATGTTGCTGTTGCTATTCTGAATACGAATTGCCGTCGCTGCATCATAACCATCCGCCGTCGTCCGTACACGTGAGTGTTTCATGTCCCTTTTCTGCCCGAATATCGTCTCCGACTTCGCTCAGGTCCAAACAGCAGGTGCTCTCTGTTCCTTATCAGCGGCGGCCAACAATAACAATATATCGTCTTTGCCGCTGTTTTTCTTGCTGTGTTCCGTACCACCCCGCCTAGGCTCAGACGTGTTGTCCTTCGTCCTCGCGGTGATTTTCATTGTCGTGCCCACGAGCGTCGTGGTCGCCAGCACCATGAGCGGGTCCAGAGAGCGCGATCGGAACAAGAAGATATTGCTCACCGTTCTTCAGGTGCACCCCTCATCTACGGAGCCCCTCGTGCCTCTCACCTTGGCCCTTTACCCACTCTCAATCTGACTAGTATTCCTGTCATTTTTTCTCCCTTGACGCCACGCCGTCTGGAACCCAGCACAACACTGATAGAAGTATCCGCTCACCTTCACCGTGAGCTGCTTATCTTCGCCTTTTACGTTCGAAGTGTGAAAAGCATCTCATGGGAACACATGACGGACGAGGAAGTATCGATAACGAGAACCCCTCCTCCATGTGTTGTCCTTTCGGCAAAAAAACTCATTCACTTTCATATACAGGAGGGGGGGTGGGGGTAGGACCAGGGGAGTATAATAGCTCGAGTTTTACAAATCGATCCGGACTGCCATGTAGATCAAGAGGTTAGCAACGCTACGTGCTCGACCGGTCGATCTTCGCTTGTTCATACAAGAAAGACACATAAAAAAGCTAGAGTACAAACAGTGCCGGCGCTGTCACGCGATGAAGGTGGCTTTCCTTCCCTCGCATCGACCGCCCCCCCTCCTCAACCTGCAGCTTCGTCTAGTGTGGGAAGCGCGCGACGGGTTGAAGAAAAGGCGAGAGACGAGAGACTACAAGACGGCCAAGTTCGTCGAGGCGTGCTTTGAGGCTGCGCCACAGGTAAGAGGGTGGCTGCTGCACCCAGCGCATTAGCTCGCAGTCGAACAGCTTATGATCGCAAGGCGAAGGTATGGGCGATCACCACCACCACCAAGGTCAGGAAGGCAGAAGGAGGCAATTTTGTCGTATCAACAGCGGTGGCATGATGCAATGCACGTACGAGATCGTCTACATGGGGATTATATTTCGAATTCGCAGAGGGGGGATAGCTTTCTGTACCAGCTTGTGTGCAACGCAACCAAGAACTGCGCCGCTTCTCGTGTGTGCTCTTGGAGACGACTATGGTCAAGGATTCAAGAAGAAACCACTCCCTTTTGCAGATGCTGCTGCAGACCGTCGCGGTAGTGTCCCTGTGGAACGACAAGGAGACCGACAACTCGGACGCGTTCGTGGCCTTCTCGATTATGAACTCCGTCTTCTCCGTCTCGTGGGAGACCATGTCGGCTCTGGACAGGTGAAACGGCGAGCCTTCATGCTCTTTGTCTTTGAGGCTGAAGTGTACCACGTTGAGATCTGCGAGATCGCGGAGTCAAAAGTGGGCGCCGGAAGAGGGAGAAGTGGTCCGTTCCGTAGAAAATGTGTGATGGGAGAAGCGCCAGCACGATGTGCGGCAGTGACTCGCCGCAATAGCTCTTCTATCTCAAAATAGGTACAACACGCGGTCTTCCCACCTACCATCAAGAATTTCCTCTTGCGTCTTTACACTTTACTGTAATTCTGTTGTTGAAGTTCTTGCGTCTCCCGAAATGCCGGGACTTCACCTGCGCAACACCGCCACGAATTTCTACCTGCTTGCCTCGTGTCACCCTACGTTTTGTCGCGACCTCGTTTCCAAGAGGGTGGGCGGAAGAGATGGTCGAGGAGCGGGCCAGACAGGGGACGTCGTGGCCTTGCGGAGCATCAGCTCACCGCTGGCTCGTGCTCTTGAGCCTGTGGGTCTTCCACGTGTGCGAGGCGAGTGCCATGCTACTTACATCGTCCCCCCCCCCCCCCCCCGGGGGCATGGTGCTCTCTTTGGCCGCCGCCCGCCGGACATCATTGAAGGGTTCTCGTGATTTACTGCTACAGCACTAGCTTCCTTCCTCTCGGAGGTCGCAATTTTTTCAACACAAGACCCAGCAATGCCTCAACTGTTGCTTCCACCCATTGCGTGGTACGGCAGGTCGGGTTACGGGGGTTAAGCCTCTCCATGCTTGCTCTAACGCTCCGGGGGTGGTCGGCTCTCGTGATGGCGGGTGTGTGGGGCGCGCGGGTTGGCATCGCGAAGGCAACGGAGGCGTCTGACCTCAAAACTACCAAGGTGCAAGCAGCAAGGAGTTGCGCTCTACACGACTGCAACGGAACGTGTGAGCACCATGTGCGCACTACCTGCCGCACAATATTTCCGATGTCTGGTTTTATCGCCATGGCTATCTAAGTTAGGCACTTGACGGATGAATTGTTCTTGGTTGTGTCACTGTCGAAACGCCCAACCCACCATCAGGTTCTGATTAAAGCCCTTGCAGCATGCCTGCTCGACTCCATCTGGGACAGCAAGTCTGCCTACATCGCCGCATCGGTATGCACTTTGCTTGAGGTGAGTGTTTGTGTCACCGTGGAGGTCGCGTTTCCCGAATTGCTACGATCCCCCCCGCGCCTCCTCTCCCCTCGGTGTGCACCTGTCCTACTCCCATCGCCGCTTGAAGGTGCGGAACCGAGCTTCGCTATTAATTGTACAACGATAGTCATCGAATGCAACCGTACGTTCAAGCGGAATACATGGTCGCAACAACCGTCAGAACTGTTACACCGCCACCGCAAGTATACCGCGAACACCCCCGCCTTGCCCCCTCCCCCTCTTCTCCTCTTCCCTGTTCCCCTCTCCCTACTACTCCCCAGTCGAGCACTTTCTTCGTTGTGGCATCGTTAGAATTGCGAGGAGAAAATACTCCACTCGAAGAAGCCTTATCCGAAGTAGCGTGGGTCGCAGGGAGCGTCTACGCCCTACGGTTCGTGCTCGACCTCTGGTTAAGGGCGCCGCTGCACTGGGGGACGTTGATCGATGTTGAGGACTTGCCGTCTTGCTGGAGGGAAGGAGTTTCCAGGCTGAGAGGGGCGCTATTCGAAAGGCGTTCGCCATCAGCGACAACGATGCCAGCAGAGCCATCGCCACTTGCGACCACGCCACAGGCGACGCCACTGTCACCACGGCGTGCTGGCTTTCTGCCTCGGTAGACCTACAGCAGATAGATTGTGTCGTTATTGTTCCTTGGATACAAATTTAGTCTAGTGCGCTGCCTGATAGATGTGACTTCCCCTTATTCATGTCCCAAACATCCAACAAGGTAGGTGCGTGTATTTTAGTGAGCGATGGTTCTGTTTTCGGGAGAAAATGTAATGCTAAGATAGCAGTATGTAGGATCTTTTCCTTCTTGAGAAGAAGAGGCTGGCTGTAGCTTTAGCTAGCTGTAGTTGGGATTCGATGCGCCCTCGTTTGTTGGCGCCGAGCCAACGTAGAAGGAATGTGTTGTGGTGTAAAGGTATTGCCTGCAACTTCCTACATAGCTCAAGCACGTACTACATGGGCCTGGTGTGGGTAACCACTGACTTGAGACGCTGTTTGGAGTGTTGCGAAGGTTCACCAATTACATCGCGACGTAAGTCCTTGTAGCAAGAATTGTTGAAAGGGGTGGGGGTGTACCACTGTTCACGGCCGGTAACCGGCGTAAGCGCGGAGGCATTGGCTGTTTACTACAGTAGTGGGTGTGCTCTGAGAACGTAAGGTCGAAATGTTGTGGGTCTCATTGTTTTGAGTTGTCACCAATTTACAGAGGATAGGGGTAACACGCTCACGGAAAATGAACAACCAGGGTTCACTGCAACGTACTGCCTGAGCAAGATCCAGCGGATACTAAACATTTCAACTCTTCGGTGTCAATCATGGCACGTCTGCCATGACGCTTCCGATCTCATCAGAACTATCGTACATTTTCAGTTCTGACCGATACACGACTACATATAATTAAACATCACCTCATTCCGTGCAAGACAACACAATTTATTTTCTTTTTCATTGGTCGTCTCTCCTGTCGAGTACTGAGTCTACCGGCTACCTTCTATTAGCCTGCCGTCAACACGCGCCTCGAAAACCACGGGGGCTCCGTGTCTTTCACGACACACCCATCATCGCCACCACCGCCAGCCCCTCTCCGCTCTGCAGGGCCCGAGCTCATGGCGGTGCTCACGGTGGCATCACAGCAGACGCTCTGACTGGCGGAAGCGGCGGTGGGATATAATCCACCGTTGCCACCACGTGCGAAATCATGTGTGTCTTGGTTGCGGTTGTTGATGTCGCCGTCATTGCCTCCCTCTTGCTCCTGGAAAGGTCCCCCATGAAATTCGGTGGCGAAGAAAACATCGACCCTTCCGAGTCGCAGCGAAGAAGAAGAAGTGGCCTCGCCGCCACGCGTTCGTTCTGTTTCTCGTGCGAGACGGTGGTGGATGGAGTCGTGTGGAGCAGCGCCACGGCAGTGACGCGTCAATCGGCGTGTTGGCATTCATGCATTCGACGCCATCACTGTTGTCTTGAGCCGTTTCGACACGGTGCAAACCTTATACATGCATGGCCCAATAATCTACGTGTAGCATAGGCCACGCTCTAATACGGTAGCGTTGAGTGACCCTGGGTCGGGGTCGAGTGCATGAAGAGCATAGGTGTTGGGGCTGTACAGTTTAGAGCGGTATCAGTAAGAGGAATGGTTGGGAATATCTTGGGGGACATGTACATGTAGACCGCGTAGTGAAATATCGAACTCTTACCACCGGTGGTGTCGGAGGAAGGAGAAGCAGACGCCAGAGCTTCGAGGCGAGCAGCGTTCCGCGTCAGCACGGCGATTTTCGAGCGGATCTGGTCGGCCTCCTGTCGGACGGCCTCATCCTCCTCGTCCGCCATCAGCTGCATGCGCCGCTTCGAATGAAACGGAAATAATGGGAGGGTGCACGGGCAAGGGAGAAGGGCTTGTTTCTTGGAACCGGGTGGTGGTACAGAAACGCTGATAGTGAGAGCAATGACGGGCGCCGTGGGTGGAACGGTGGCAGAGTCGCACGGGTACGGCGATGCCAGCATCTAACAATAGGGTCCATGATATCTCGGGACGTAGTGTTGACACATCGAACAACGTGCAACACTCGATCGCATCTCGCCCGGGTTGGTGTTGATTGCTTGGTGACTTCGGCGAAATAGAGAGTGCTGGTGTTTGCCTATACGGAGCGAAAATGGGGCGGGACAGGCTCATGAGTGTCACCTCCCGGCGAATGACCAAAATCCTTGTGTCTAGGATTGATGGGGTGTTACCTGGGCATGCGATGCCTCGCGGTACATCTTTCTCGCCCGATCCCTGGCTTCCTCGCCAGACAACCAGTCCCACTCCAGCGGCCCCACCCCTCCCGGAGCAGACACGCCCTCCTCCAGCGTTCGGAGGAGCACCCTGACATCGGCCTGCGGGTCTCCTCCTTCCTCTTGACCCCCTCCGCCACCGAAGCCTCCTTTGTTTGTGACCCCGTTCCGACCGGCGGCGGCGGCGGCACCGCCGCCGGAGGAGGACGCAGAGGAGGACAGAGCGGCGGCCGCGTCGAAAAGAACGTCGAGGTTTGTTCGGCTGCTGCCGTCTGGTATCGCTGCAACAACCTTGCCGCTGCCACCTTCGCCGATTCCGCTGAGGCTGTTTAGGCTGTCATCGTCAGAGGACAACTGCGGTTCGATTCCGTAGATGCGGGGGCGCCGTCCCTGGATGACCATCTTCTTTATCCCCGAGAAGGCTTGCTTACGAGTTAGGAAGAGCTTGGCGGGAGGAGTACTACCTGCCACACATACAGGAGGAGAGGGGATTGGGGGTGGGGGTGTTTATTCGACATTTGGATCGGCTGTCGCGGTATCTCTCGCTGACCCCCCCATGACCCTACGCCTCCCATTCCCGTTCTCCAGAACAACGGTTTTCAGGTGCCCGCTATGTCAAGCCACGACGCTGACATCTCTATTCCCACACTAGTGTCACCCGTAGCAAAAGGGTACCCATCGGGTATAACCTACCTCCCTGACCGTCCAAGATTCGCTTGAGCTCGATCCTCTCCCAGTGGTCTAGTTGCCCGGGCCCGCCGGAGTTGCGGGATTTATTGAACTCGCATGCCATGGGGGCTCTGGCGGGAAGCACCTCCGTGTCGGGACATTCCTGGGCGTGGCGGAGACAACGGTGGTTGGGCCCACGCTTTGAGGCATTGGGAGATCGCGTGGCACGTTGCTGTACACTGTTCTAGGCTAGGGCCTTTGAGGCAAAGGCCACGGTGTTGCGTTGGGAGGTACTGTGTGGGTGGTGTTTTGAGAGGAGAATTTTTGCGGGGAATGGGGCGTTTCATTTCGCGTGGCACGGGGATGGGGTAGCGTTTCTTTCGTATTTGAGTTTCACTTCATTATTTTCCCGTGTGCACCCCGTATGCATAGCCCAATAGCACAACTCGGCGTAGCAACAAGGGCAAACACGAGTAGAACTTGCAGGTGGAAACAAACCTGTTTCGTGTCCATGTTATCAACAGGCTGTGCGTTGTGAGTGGCACCTGAACGCCGTCGATAACACACTACTTTCTCTCTTTTTCGAAGCGATATCTGCCGCTGGCGTGTGCAATTTTCGCGGTATAAAACTGTGGGACACTCTATGTCCGTGAGCGTGAGCTAAGATACGGCAAACGACGGGTCTAAACTAAGGGTGGGGGGTGGAGGCCCGATGTGCACACAGAACGCGAAGCCCACACACACAGTTGTTATTATAGTCACGGCCAAAAGAGGCAAACGCCGGAGAAAACTCTCACCGAAATCGGGCCTTTTCCGCCTTTTCCACCACCGCCGGCACCACTGTCCCAACTCCTCCCAGACGCGGGATGCTTCGGAAGAACCTGCGTCGGCGATGGTTGACTACTCCGCGGGCTTTTCGGCTTCGCCTTCCAAGCCTTGTCAAGCACCCTGCGCTGGTCGTCGAGATCTCTGCCTCCATGCTTAGGCTCGACCGCCCCGCAGAATGAAACGTAGTTCACGAAGCTGTTCCCGTGTTGGTGGGGACCAAAGGGGGTCCGGGAACGAGAGGATAGGGGAGGGAAGAGGACGAGAGTGGATCTTGGAGCTCGGCGGGTTTGACGCGCTCGAATACGGTACATCACCAAAAGCGACGCAAACTTGACGATTCGACGGCGCCAAGAAGGCGTTCCCGCTACACCTCGAACAAGAATCCTCCCCGATGGATCTGCTGAAGACGACTTTGGCGTCGCTGATCTAGTCTTCCATTTTCTCTCCTCGCTCCCGCTCCGGAGCAAACGGTAATAGTTCCAACGCAAACACTTCCCACCTCTGCCCCAGGAACACCGGGTCCCTTCCTAAGGACACGGCCCTTCGCGGGGGCGATGCTCGGAACGCCTCCAACAGTAGCCCTCCCACCAAGCCTTTTTTCCCGGCGAGGAAGCCGGTATTGTCGGCCTCGTCGGCGGCGTCGGGACCCACGTCTGGCCACAGCCCGTGCGACCTGAGGCATCTCGTGAACAGGTGCTGTTCGTTTTTTGCAAGGTCGGGGACAAAGCGGGTTGACTTAAACTTCGCGGGCGGAACACAGGAGGACTTCAGCACTTGTCCGCATCAGAATATACAGGAAAGGGAGCTATTTATCTACATTGCAATACTGTCATGTACCATAGGAGTGGAGGGACGGAAGCTCGTACTACCATCGTTGGCGATGGGGGAGGTTTTCTTGTAGCGGATGACCCCACCCTTCCCTCCGCTAAACGGGATACGCAAGTGTTTCTAAACATCTTCCTGAAGTCATCGAGCACGGATGGTCACATCTCTAGAAAGCGTTTGTTCCGTTCTTCCCCGTCACCGCTGATAAAGCGTGCACTAACACTAAGCAAGCTGAATTTCCAACTTTTTCCAGCTAATTCTCGTTGCTACCTTCCCCCACCCTCCACCAACCTGAGTCACCACTTCCTCTCGCCGGGCATCCTCCGCCATGAACCACTCCTTCAGCAGAATCCGGCGCTGCTTGACGATGGCTGTCATACGACTCAGCTCCTTCGAAGGGGAACATCATAACACAGACAGGTGGGGTGTATACCTAGGTTTCGGTCATCAATGGAGCTTTTCCCCGCCGTCGCCGGTGTGCACCCGCGCCCTTAAGCGCGATGAACAAAAAAGGGGGCTGCTTGCACCAAGAACGGGTAAAAGAGCTCAACAGATATATCAACAAGGTGCAAGTGTAGTATAGGGTTGTTATGAGGGGTTGAACCCACCTTTCGAAGCAGACCTTGCATCCGCTTGGTGTCCAGAGGACGCGCCGCCGCTGGGGAGGGGTCAGCGGTGTTGGCACCCCCGCCTCGATCGCCCTGCCAGTTCTTTGTCTGCAGTTTGTTGTTGGTGACGTGGGAGAAAAGATAAGGGCACAAGAGGAGGGTGAAACCAGGTATGGCCTGCCGCCTGCCAGTACAACTCCGGCAAGATTCGCGCTGAAAGTACAGGTGACTCAACTGCGCACGTGTAGCGTTTGTTGGTGTCAAGTACGCCGGGTAGCAAGGGATCAAGTCAGCGACGCACGAAGGAGGGCAACATGAGTATGGAGAAGAAACGGTTGGTAGACGCGTGTGCATGCCGATGTCGGGGAGTGGCGTCTTCCTGCTTGGAACGCTGATGCATCGAAATTTCTGTACGGACTATGTGGAGGGTTCCAACGTTGAATGGTGTGCTGTCTCTTGCGAGTCACAGCGACAGTAATGAACATGGGAGGGCTATGCAGCGATGAGCGCAAGTTAGAGAGGCCGAGCAAGCCAATTGCCGTGCCATGAAGAATGGCGATACAGCGCAAGTCCTCTTGCGTACTCGGAGTACCTACTAAGATGTGCTCTGGCGAGGCCAAATCGATCTGACCCGGTGCCAGAGCGTCGAGGAATGTACAGGGGGGGGATGGACGCAACAAGGATATGGTACGCGTGCTTGCTGAGATAGCAGTTGATTCATGGAGTAGTTCGTAGATGTACCCCATGTCACTCGCCTCCTCTGCCGCTAGATCCTGGGTAAGCCGCACGCTGTCGCTGTGAGCACCTCGCGCGGACGCTTCCCAGCTTTTGGGAACCCGCGCTCGGCGAGCGCTGCTTCTCTCCTCTTCGGTTATCTGCCAGTTCCGATGCAGCATGACCATAGTAAACGGTCGGCAAACTAACATCGTCGGAAAGACGACCAAAGACAGGGGTTGCGGGCAGCAGTATCACCGACACCCCGCTAATGCCTATCACGTAGCTATGTCATTCTTCATGCCACGACAACGTTCAAAGCTCACGTCATGCTTCAATATCAATTGCACCGATCTCCCGAAATATACATACGCAAGACTCCCACCTAGGGAATGAACACCGGTTCGAAGACATGAAGATGGCCATGAGTTGTGCACCTGTTCCATACCTTGTGCATATCCAGCGTTTCCAACCAGGGAAGATTTTTTATGACAAGCAGGCGGTACCCGGTTTCTTCCGCGAGGGGGTTGCCGGAAAGTTCTAGATAGCGCAGATGTCGCATGAGCCGCAAGATTCCCAGGCTTGCCTGGTGGTTGAAATAGACGGATGTTCGATTGATGGGAACGGCAAAAACGCCGGAAGATTTCACAGTCGACGTGCGTACAGGATATACCCGTGCTAAAACAATCGCCACCCATGCATTGTCGTTCGTGAAGGAATGGGTGAAACGGTTAAGAGAGGTGTGGAGAGACATGTACCGCGGTGCGCTAGTGTTTACTCGTTGCACGACGGGACGCAAACGCACCGAGAGCCCCACCTGTAGCAGTGGACAAACGCTCTATATTTCTCGCGCAGAAAAACAGAAGTCAGCATTGCACTGGCACGAAGTATCATGTGCGTTTACCTGGAGATTGCCGATGCGGTTGTTCCCCAGCGTTAGCGTATGCAAGAAGGTGAACGCTAGCAGGGATCCCTTTTCGAACCGCACCATGACGTTCAATATGGGGCCGATGAGGGAGAGACATCAGAATCGTGTTGGCAGTACAAGTTGGACCAACCGCATAAACACAACTGGTCAGTGGAAACTCCGTGAGGTAAGTCCACCTGCTCTTCTGGTGTTGTATATTTTGGGCGATAAGGGTATCTCACGGGGGATTCTCTACGAGGATTGAAACCAACAGCTTTAGGCAAGACCCCCCCGCATTATGTCCGACAGCCGTCTAGCGTCAGAATAAAGGGAAGCAAAAGATAGAGAACCTGTGTTGTGCAACCTCCCCCGAATTTTTAATACCTTCAGTGTTCCAATGCGGTTGTTGTGAGCATACAGGCTCTTGATGGTCGGGTTGTAGTCAAGGTTCGTGATGCGCGAGAGAGAATTGTCGTTGACCCAGAGTACCTGCATCACCGCGTCACACGAAATATGGTTTGTTCGAGGCATCTGCTACAACAACGGTACAGGCCCTATCACATCCTGAGTATCGCTAGAGGGGGACACATGTATGGGTTGTCGGTCACCCTTCCTGGTAGAAGCTTCGCCGTTGTCTTGCACACAAATGGAGCCTTGCAGGCAAACAGCAAGCAACATATTATCCCCTCCTACATACCCTAGCCCTGCCAATAACTCAGGCGGATAGACGCGTCTCGTGGTTGGTTTTGGTAACGCCGACGCGCACCTCTAGACTCTCGAACGCCTCCATATCGTCGGTGAGGTGAGTGATGCCCCGCTTCGCCAGGTGCAGCTCTTCACCACGTATGACCACACAAGCGTGGGACAGAGATCAGGGGTTAAAATGCCAAAACAACACAGTTGTCCTATGCAGAGCGCGGACCCACTCTGGGAACCGCTGGAGTATGCATACATACATGTACATAGGACGACGAACCTCCTACGTGGATTTGTTTGATTGAGTGTTGTTTTCTACTCAGTACCCGCTTCCACCCGTATGTGCCTAACTGACCGGACAACACTCGTGTTCACAGGCTAGCTACCCACCTGGGTGCGCATTACAGATATCAAAGAATATGAAGAGATCCGGAAAAATCAATATATACATGCGCTATTAATGAGAGATTACATGTCCTGCACGACAGTCAGACTCCGCAGGTGACAGGTTGCTGCTTCTAGATCGTCGCACACTTTCGTACGACGTATTGCGTGTTTCATTAACTAGCGTCGGCCGTACTAACCGGCGGACCAAGGCGTCAGTGTTACAGCGGAGGTAACAAACGCGACCAGGACTCTTGTCATCGGGCTTCTCCGGTAGGGGGACTGCGGAGGAGGACAACAGGGTCCATTGTCCGTGTATTTTGAAGGGGGGAGACTATACAGTATCACCCGTAGAATACCTGTTGCGGTATGTGCTTCCTCGCAAGCACCATTTCCTTGAAATTGGCTACTTTGCAATGTCTATCTGCCTTTCATCTAGTCGTGCCGTGGAGCTCGTCATTAGCTGCAGCATCGACGCTGCAATTCATTTTGCTGGACACCTCCCCAAGAAATAGTCTAATCTGGGAAATCAGGACACGCACACCATCGTTCTTTCTTTTCATCGTTCTTTCTTTTCATCGGGCTCCTGGGGCAGGGGAGCCGTGGAGGTGGCTGCACGATGGGATCCACTCCGTGTTCAATTTTGTAGAAAAGGTCGCTTGTGCGACCAATACAACAGGATGCTGCAAATTCTCGAGGACTTGACATTGCGTGCTTGGCGGTCAACAAAAAATAATATTGGCGGTCATGAGTCATGACTCACACCTGTGCAGTCGGCGATATTTTTTGCGAGGTTATTCAGCTCTTGTCGAGGTCTGGCAGGCACACCCTCACTATGGCCGCCCTCATATCTCATCGGTCCTCCTGAAGGTTGGCTAGTTAGCAGTAGGAGTTCAACGTGCGCGTGCCGGGTCGGGACTCTGTCTCTATCTATACGCAGTACGCCGTACGCCGTGGGCTAAGAGGCGGCGCAATTAAAAGGCGGTGCAACACGAAACGGAACCTAACCAATCATCATTACATCATTACGTCATTCGACTGTGGGTATATCTCGAATGGGTACAAGTAGTCTTTCTGTGTGTGTTTTTTTATTCCTTAAGTCATTACGTCATTACGCTCGACGTCACCGTGTGTCAGCGAGGGCAGTACTGTTGTGTTCTACAACAAATCAGAAGGGGGCGATACACGGGCCAACACGCCAGCTAGTGATGATTGTACAACAACAACATGCAATGCGTACAGCAGGCGTCATTTATTTGTCGTCGATTGTCGATGTACACGCAGCAGGAGCTGTTGTTGTTGATAGAGAGTACAGCAGGAGGAATGGGTCCCTAGTCTTTCTGTGTTTGTATTTATACATATATTTCCTAAGAGGTGGACTAGAAAACGCCCACTCCATCTGTCTGCCTGCCTACTACCTACTGTCTATTTTTTAATTATTTATGAGCAAAATACACGCTATCCCCGGCAACATAAAAGTTTGCGGGAGCTTTTCAACTCGCTCGGTGGTTCTCCATTATTAGTAGTAGTCAGTACGGTCGGTTTCAACATTTCAATGTAAGACAACAACAACAACAGCAGTACCACATACAGCAGAAGAACAATTGAATAAAAAAGTACAGCATTTACTGTCGTTTTCTTTCGAATTGCCCACCACACTGAAGAGGGCAGGGACTGAAGTATCCTCCCGGGGCCATAGACTAGTGGATGAACGTGCAAAAGTTGAAACTTCTGCGACAAGGTTGATGTCGGTGCAGATTTATACGAAGTACGCAGTAGTCACCGAAGACGAAAATAAAAGGGTGCCGGAAGAGAGTAGTTGTGCATGTAGTGAAGAAGGGAGAAAACTGAGATTTCAGCGGAAGACTAAGAGCAAAAGAGGACGAAAGGTGAAAAAAAGTACACATCAAAACTGTACGAGGAATAGCAACCGCAAGCGGGAGCTATACCACCAGCGTCTACTTGGGTCAATCGCTGGTGAGGAATTGTAATGGTATGTGACCCCTTCCTTCAGAATCAATCACCTTTGAGCTGTGTAGAACTCTGTTGTCCGACCACAGTAGCAGGTTGTTGTTGCTTTCCGTTGTTCTCTTTCTCTTGATTAACGCTTTCCAAGCCAACGCACAATATTCCACGCACACACGATCAGGGATCGTCTGTACGCACACACTGAATAGATGGGCACATGTCTCGGCATAAAGCCCTGATCTAGCATGACGTCACGTCTTAGCATCCGACGGCGCCAAATAACCATGATCAACCACGATCACATGTCTACCTCCACATACCATAACAATAGCCCACCCTGAGTGGACGTAGATGCAGATACAGAAGCAAACTTCGGAGGGACTCTAGCCAATCAACAACGATCTCGCACGAATGAACCGATCGAATACGCAATTAAGTAAGCCAGAACCTTACGGGAAGGGGGGCTACGATGCGATCGAGTGCTGAAATGTATACATAAAGAGTAAGAAACGAAAACCGAGCCTGCAAAGGGTCAAACGACATAGAAAACCGTTAGGGGTCGACCAAAATCAAGACAAGCATGGCAAAAGGGGGTTTCCGGGGAACGTAAACAACGGCCAAAGAAAAGGACGGGAACCAACGCCAAAAACATCGTTCGCATGTCACGATGCAACGTGGTTGCGATCGGGGTGGGGCGAGGAAAACAATCTTTCTTGTGCGTCAAGGCCAATTGGATGAAGAAAAATGCTAAAGAAAATAGCAAGATGGAACACGTTGGCCGTGGCATGCAATAGGAGCACTGGCGGAACGTTGGACCATATAATATGCAAAGCAAACCATAGGGGGGGGGAGTTCAACGATGCACCAAATTTGGGTGTCACCGCAACTAATGACGAACCTAGGTCGCATTGAAAACTAGGGAAAGGGGAGCGAAAACGAATGCCAAGTCGCTCGATTTTCTAGATACCGTTGGGAGTCACGAACCAATTGGTATTGACTATGAATCGTGGGAACATTTGATTGACTATTTAAACACTGCATCCACTCGTCGACGCCAATGAGAATACCTATAGAGTCAGAGTCACTGCGGCGGTGTTGTCTCTCCTTGGTATATATTATATGTGGCGAGGAAGTGCCAAGCGTAGCTGAGTCTCGGCTTAGCTAGCTTAAGAAAGGTGGAAGTGAGAGGGGGGGCGCCTTCGTTAGCATTTCCCCATCTCCGAGATTCACATGATGAACGGTCACGGTATTCTGTGAATCTTTCCTGGCAAATGTCATCGGACGGTAGAACATTGTTCATTGTAGTCTGACGATCTTTGCTGGTCGGTTGTGCATGATACCTCTAGGAAGCTAGCTAGATGCTTGTATCCTGGTTTCCACATCGAAATCGGTATGTCCAAATCTATCTCAACGTACGCGAACAAGAAGTACAAAATTTATTGGATTGTGTTGGAGCCAGAAACTCTTTGGTTTATTTTTCTGCGTTAATCACTTTTCATCACCTGACAGCGTCCTGCCGGGTACAGCAGTGCTGTAGTACTGAAATAGAACCGGCTCGGAGATAACAAATGTCAATCGGGTCGAGCCTGAATTCCTTATTGTCGGTTGAAGTGTCAGCCGAAGTATTCAATTTTCTAGCAACTGGTTTCTTTTTTGGCTGTCGCATCCTGCTAATTTTCGTCTTGTATTACTTGAAGAAAGCAACAACACAGACAGCTCATTTTGATATTCGAGGACAAACAACTGTTTCAAGCCCTCAAGAGAAGCAGCGGAGTGCTATCAGTCCCGTTCAGCATGCAGCATGTAGTGATTCGCGATGCCGCAGTACTCCAGCTAGCTGTGAGTAGCACAACCAACCCGCGTCGGCGCGGGGGCGTGAGGCCGCGCGGCGAAATAACCGCTTCTCCCCCCAGTATGTGGGCCAAGCACTAGAGCTAGGAGGTGGGAGCAACACAACAAGAAGTGCGACGTTTCTTGTTCGACAGCTACCCCTTGATATGTCTTGGGGGTATCGCACGATCCTGTTTCATATTGGAACGTTTCTTATGTTGTAGCCGAGATTGAGTTTGTTTCTAAGCCCTAGTTTCATATGTATGTTTCGTAAGCGTTTGAGCCATTTTTTCTTAACGGAATCTTGCTTAATTGCCGGCCCGTACTGCAGGAGCTCCAAGCCGTGGTCACGCAGAAGGGTTCGTTTCCCTGAGCCCCCCTACCCACCCCTCCTGCCCCTTCGATTTATGCACCTACAATTGGTTCGAACCAACGAAATCACGAGGAAACAGGCAAGGAACAGCGCGCTGCATCTGACTTGGAATTTCGCACGGCGAAATGCACAGCAGACAACGAGGCACCAGTATGGAACGATCGAAGAAGACCAATAGTGGGAATGGCGTGAACGTGAACAGGTACACGTATGACTGACTTGTAGCTCAAACGTTTGGGGGTACACCTGCGTGTTGACGAACACGCACATAGTATGAAGTACAGTAGTGGTACTCGGGTACAAATCGGCACTTTGTAAAAGTACCGGGACAGCGGATTATGAATATTTGTTGTGCGGGCAAAACCCACGAAATACGTGTCTGAACCCGTTCGTTGTGTGTACGTACGCACACAGACTATAGGAGGGCCGCACACACTTTCAAAATGTTGCACCTCTCTCAATGAAGGAAAGGAAACACTATAGCAGAGTAGGTGTCGTCACAGCGGCAGCCGAGAAAGAAAACGTGCATGTTGCTTCCC